TTTGTTATGGAGGAATTTTTTTTGAAATAAAAATAAGAATAAAAAACCAAAAAAAAGAGCCGTTGGACCGAATAAACTATTTGGGCCATTTTGGACCTAATTGCATGGGTGAAGATCGAGTCCAATCCAATCCTAAGTTGCATAGGACATTTGGGCTTTGAAAATCCATAGTCCAAATCATATGGGTTCGAAAACTAGGAGTCCAATGAAAATCCATATTTTTAAAACCCAACACAATTTCATTAACATTAATTAATTTAAAGTTAATTAATTAAGATTAAAAAAAATAAAATTCTTAAAACCCCGTTTCATCTTCCGCATATCCTTTCGCCGTGGAAAGGCCGGCCAACATTTTTAAGTTAACAGCTCAACTCGAACCCAACAATTTTAATCCAATTTAAATTTTATAAAATTAATTTTTTTAAATTAAGTTTCGGATCAGATATTATTAAGAAAAAATTGAAGTCGGGCCTAACTCGATATTATATTAAAAATTATTTTTAATTATTTTTTTAATTTTTTATTTATATATAATTATATATTTATATATTTATATTTAAAAATAATATTTTTAAATTTCATATCAGATTGAATCGGATACGAAGTTATATAATATTGAATCGAATCGGATTCAAATATAAAAAAAATAAAAAATTTTCGAATCAAATCGAATTCAAATTTTATATTTATAAAATTAGATCAAATTCAAATAAATAAAAATTCAATCCCGATATAATTCATTGTCAACCTAAACATTCCAGTCACCTTACCCAAAAAAATGAACTCTTATAATTGAGTATTCAAATACATACAGAGCAACAGAAATTCTATTAAAAATCTAATGGCACGTTTGGTCCTGGGGTAAGGCTTTTCCATTCCCCGTTATTCTCTCATGAATGGTAATTCATGAGTTTTGATTCATTGAACGGGCTATTTTCGATGATAGGTATTACGAGCCTATTCCCCAAAATCAATGAATGGACAGAAACATTCTGTCCTCTCCTCAAAGAACAGCTAGTCTAAGTGTTAGGAGGGTTGCTTCTAAATGCATCTCAATTTTTTTTTATATTTTTTTATCTTTTTAATAAATTTCTCGATATTCATATCTAAACAAGTTTTATAATTTATCAGAAATAAATTTTTAAAAATTATATAATTTATTGAAAATGAATTTGAAAAAAATGGATTTCCACAAAGGAGAGAATGAATTTCTATAAAGAAAAATTATAAAAGAGGAATTTTATTAAAAAGTTTTACTAATTAATGTATATAAAAAATTTATTATTAGAAAATTTTATAAATTTTAAAATTTAATAAAAAATTATTTTTATTATTTTAATTTTAAAGAAAAAATCTTATTAAGTCCTAATTAAATATTTCATCTCTTAACGTTATAAAAGATGATGAAAGAACTATCAAGTCTGATCATATATAAAAATTGAAAACTTTTTAAAAATTGTATAAATAATAATATTGAATATTATATAATTTTATCAACATCTAATATACTAAGTGAAAAAACTCATCATTACAAGTTGATGAAGAACTTATCTAAGGGATTCAGTTTAATTAAAATTATTATAAAATTTTAATAATTAATACCAAAAAACATATTTATTAAAAAATGATGAATTTTAAATTTATCAAAAATTACATTTATTATTTTATCCTTAATTTAATTAAGATCTTATAAACTTTTATTTTGTCTTTAAAATCAAAATAATAAAATTAACCTTTTTATTAATTTTAAAAATTTATCACTTTTTCTTATAATAACGTTTTTCATTATACTAAATAATAAAAACTTTTAATAAAATTATTTTTTTTATAATTTTTCTTAAAATTTTTACCTCTCTCATAAAAATGGATTTTTGAAAAATTTATAACTTTCTTAAAATTCATTTTTGATAAGTTATATAATTTTCTGAAAATAATTTTTAAAAAATCATAAAATTTATAATATTCAAAAACTTGTAAATATTATAATTAAATAATTTTATTTTAAAAATTTAAAAAACATAAGGGTGTGAAAAGTAAAGTTATAGTGCATTTATAAATTTCTCTTCATGGAATAGAGTGTCAATTATTTTTACCATTTTACCCCTTTTCATTGAAATTCCATTATAACCCAAATGTCGGGAAGAGAACTCACTGAAAGTTTTGCCATGGCACTTTCGGTGACAAAAATTCGTTGCAATACTGATCAGATTTAATTCGTCGGCCAACGACGAGACCTAGTAGTCGAAGACAAGATCCAACTATTGTTAACATCAAAGTCAACTGAAATGGGCTGAAAAGTTCATCGAACGCCAGAAAGTGTTGCTGCCACCACCTACTAAGCTCGCTGATGATCAGATTTGAACACTGGCAAGGCTAAATCGGTGTTCAATAATAACTCTAATGCTTTCTTTGCCTTACTCTTTGCAAAACAGGTTTTTGGCCACTACCAATGGTGGCTGCCGATGGAAAAAAAAAAAGTGCCAAAAGAAAAATATTTTTAAAAAAGAAATAATAAAGAAAAAAATAAATATTTTAAAAATAAATAAGTAAATATATATAAAACTTTTACAAACTAATTGTCACTAATAATATTTTTCATAATTAATTTTTATTAATTGATGATTAATAGGAAAGGAAATTTGAGTTTATTTTTTATTTTTTTGGCCAAAGATAAATGAGATAATTAACAATAATTTTTTAATTAATTAAGATTAAAATTATTTTTATAATAAATAATAATTAATTTAATAAAAAGGTCAAATAATCTTTTTAACTTATTCAAACTATATTCTTTAATCTAAACAAAAATATATAAAAAATTATCAAAATTCATTGAAGTAGGATTTTTTAATTTCACAAATAAAATTTAAATAATAACACATATCCTTTATATATTTAGACAAATTAATTTAACAAAAAGTAAAACATATACTATCATATTAATCCCATTTATATAATTAAAAAATTTTACTATTAATATATCAAATAATTTCTTAAATATTTATATAAGATTCTTAGTATATTCCATTCTAATAAACCAAACGTCATAATAACTATTTTTCTTCTTTGATATTCCCATAAAATATATGCTCTATTCTCCTTGTATTCTATTCCACGAATCAAACTCATCTAAAACATTTCTACATCCATTACCACCATTAACCAAAATCCTCAATTGAGATTATTAAGAGTGTAATCAAGTTAAATTGATACAATAAAAAATTTAAATTTAAACTCTACTCTCAATTTGTTACTCAATACTCGATTCAAACTTGATCAAATTTTATTTTTTTAATTCGAACTCGATTTCGATTCGTGATTGAAATCGAATTATTTGAACTTACTTAATTAAACTCAATTAATATATAAAAATAAATTCTGATTTTATATTCGACAATAATTCAATTATTTATGCTCAAACTCAAATAAAAAATATTTTATTAATTAAAATAATAAAAAAATTTTAAATATAAAAATTTGATTAGATTCACAAACTACTCAAATCGAATATAAAAATATTCGAATACGATTCAATTGATTAATCAAATTACTTAAACTTAAATTTGATTTAATAATAATCAAATTAAATTTAAATTTTATTCAAATAACTTGAATTTAACGTATCATTTATAACCTTAGAGACCACCACCGTAACTACCAAAATCCTAAGCCATCAACACACGTCACCCAACTACAACCCAAACCACCTGACCCAACAAGCAAACAGAAAAAAGTACTCCAGCCTAACAAGACACCGCCACTTACCATCAGCGTCATCTTTACCCACTCCAACAATAAATGCCACTGCCGACAACCTTCACAAACCCACCGAACAACCACCCAAAAATGCTTTTTGTTCTCAACTAGAAAAAATAAAAAAACCAGATAATCCAATATGAAAAAACCAACATAAAAAAAATACACAAAGCACGAAAAGATACAAAAAGAGAAGAGGAAAGTCGACTGGGGTTTCGGTTTGAGGAGTTTGAAAGTGTTTTTTGGCTCCTAAATTGGAGGATAGGAAGGTAGTAGAATGGGAAAAGACATACTGAAAATTTGAGGTGTTTGGATCGCCAAAATGTAGGGATTTGAGGTCTTAATACCGACAAGTTTCGACGTGGATCTAGGCTAATTGAAGCAAATTTAGGGAATCCTAGTTTAAAAATAAGAGAGGTTGAAGAAGAGTTTGTTTGGGGATTATACGGATTTTCACGATTTCAACGAGTGACGGCAGGAGGGTATTGGTGGTTGATTTTTAGATTTTCGAGGGTTTTTTGATAAATTTCTGGGTAGTAAGAAAGAGGGATAAGTTGGAAAAGGGAAAAAAAGGATAAACTACATGTTTTGGGCAACAATCCAATATCTCGACTCAGATCCGATTGCAATCGACTTGCGATCTGCTTCAGTTTACTTGTTCATTGACCATTGATAGAGTCAATGAACGGCTCAAAATTATTCATTTTTTTTAATTTTTATTTATTTACTTATTTCTTTACATGTAAATTTAAAATTTTAAATTGATAAAACTAAATGGAATTATTAAATAAATAAGATATTAAATTAAATTCCTCAGTATAATTATTTCATTTCATCATAAAAATTTAATAAATCTCAATAATAAATGAATCATTCTAATGATAAAATTTTAAGGAGCTGCGAACATGTGACTTTCTAAAAATCTATTATTGAAAATTATATTTTTAAATTTTACCAAAATAATCGAAAATTCAGAAAGAAATTTCAATATCAATGATTGACATTTGCTCTCAAATAAAAATAGAATAAAAAATAAAGGTGAAAAATTAAAATACAAATAAAAATGATTAGATAATTAGCAATAGAGATATTTGTAGGGTCTTTGCCCAATAAAAATAAAAACAAAAGAAATGGTTAAATAATCAAGGTTATAAATTTCCATATCATGGATTCTTATTTACTCCCAAACAACAAATAAATATAGAATAAGAATAAGAACATAGAAACAGATAAGCAATGGAAGATGTTAAAAGTAATAATAAAAAGAAAAAAAGATTTAGAAATTTGTTCTATCCATAAAATACAAAATAAATTCGACGAAAAAACCTCTCTCAAGAAAACAGAAGGGTTCCTCAAATAATCTTAAGGTGAAATTTTTTTCTAAGGATTCTCAGCAAATATGAAGCTAAATTATTATGAGTTTTTCAGGCTATTAAGGGTACCAAAGCAAATCCACTCAATGCAAAATCTTAGAATAAATCAAAGAGTTGCCTGGAGACCGATTACAATAAACAACAAAAGAAAATGACCCTAACCAAACTAATATTAAAAAAAAAAGCTAATGGCCATAGAGATGATATTAAGCGATCAAACTGACAGCACCATAATACATTAGGAACCAGTCAAAAGGAATGTCTAGGTGTATAATGAACTACAGAGTCAAACTTGGTGATTTCGGATCAATTTTCTCATTCTTGCCCCTGGTTCGGGTTGTTTTGCTTCGCTTAAGAGCCTGTTGGTACATATCCAACAAACCAGGAACTTTGTCCTTGTTCTTAGTAATATATTTCTCCAAAAATTCCTTTTCAGACAGTGGTATTTCCCAAACAACCTTCTTGTCCTCTTTGATCAGCTTCATTGACTCCAAAACCTTGAAAACTTCATACCTTGCCAGAATCCTATCAACTGAATAGAGAAGCAATTTGGGGTACGCAATGATAGTCTTGGCATCCAACTTCATAGTATTCACATAAAAATCCATCAAATACCTAAGTTTCTTCTCGGAACATGTTAAAGAGATAGGGTCTTTCCTTAAACTATTAAACACTTCCTCTTTACTCCATCCCAGACTCATAAAAGTCTTGACTTTTTTCTCCCAATTGGACTTGCTAAATGAACAAATCACCCTAAGAGCATCTATAAACTTAGGCTCTTTGGGTTCAAGACCTATTTCTTTAACAGTTTTAACCGCATAAACCATTCTGCCATGGCTTTGCAAGATAACTCTAGGCTGTATTACCAATAATCTCGATATCCTAGTAGCAGAAATCCCTTCGCTAATCAGTAAATCAACATTTGGCCGCAAAATGGCATTCAGATTAAAAGTCAATAACCAAGCACATGATCGTTTAAGAGCAACCAACATTTCCTTAGTATTCAGAAAAGCGGACAAAAACTCAAAAGATGGTTTAGTGTGAGCATCCAAGCTTCGTAAAAGAATCAAAGGATTCGACACAATGAGGTCAGCCAAAAACTTACCAGTAAGACCCTTTTGGATGAGATATTCAAGCTTGGGCTTGAGCTTTGAGTCAACTCTGGAATGGAGGATTTCAGGGCGTTTTGAAACCAATTTGGCGATATGGGTATCCTCGAATCCATAGGATTTTAAACAGTTAAGGACAGATGATGAGGATTCTGGGTAGGGGATTTGGTGTACTCGGAGGCGTTTGGAGAGTAAAAGAGCGGATTTTAAAGGTGGCGCTTTGGGAACAGAAGCAGGGGTTGGGGTGGTTTGAAGGAAGCGTTTTTGGATTAGAGAAAGCAGATTTCTGAGAGGGATTTTCGCCATTTTTGGGAGAAGAAACCCTCCCAACTTCGCAGGGTTTTACTGCAAAATGAAATCCGAGGGTTTTTATTTGAGTGATGCTATTTGCACCCATATTTGTTTTAATACATTCTAAAATTTTAATTTTTTATGAATTTATTTAAATACTCATTTTTTTTTTTTTTTTGTCTATCACACTTCGTTTTAAAAATTTATTTTTGGAATGTTTTAAAAACTTTAGATATCTAATTATGAAATTTTTGAATTTTCGAAAGTTTTTAAAAATTTTGAAATATCCATTTCTAGAATCTTTTACAAACTTTTAAAAATTCATTTTTGAATATTTCGAATAGCATCTAAATATTTTAACATGAAATTTTAATAAATTAAATAAAAAATCAAATAAAAAACAAATGATTTAACTTTTATTTTATATTTTTTAATTTCAAATAAGTGAAAATTTTTTGAATTTAGCTTGATTGAGGGTTAAATTCCTTTAGGTTTTTGGTTAAAAGGAGAAAAAAATATAGTGTGAGAAAATGAGATGTTTGGGTCTTTGGTAAATCTATATTTTGAGCTTTAGATGTGTTGAATAAAAAATTAAATGTTAATAATAGTGAGATATGACGAGAGAAAATTGAAATGCAAATAACATCACTCTTTTATTTCTATTAAATAGGATAATTTAATCCATCTTGATTCATCTTAATTTGAACTCGATTCAATTCAATTTTTTTTGGATATATCAACAACTTTAACTGAAAAAATATGAATCAAGTGAGTCCATACTTAAATTATTTTATGTTTTAATTTAATTAAAATTCGGTTTGACAAATACTTTTATTTTTCATTTTCCTAGTTAAATTATTTTATGTTTTAATTTAGTTAAGATTCGATTTGATAGCCTTTAAGGTGAAATTTGACAATATATTGTGATTCAATATTGAATTTTGTTATTATATTTTTTATTTTATTAATATTTCAACAAAATAGGAAATTGAAATATTTAACAAAATTTTATGTTAATTAAAAAAAACAAAATTTTTTATTATATTTTCAATTTTCAATGATTTTTTAACAAAAGTTGACATAATTGATATATTTCACAGAATACTTTATTATTAAGATTGATAAGTTTTATCAATTTCATCATTTTATATCTAAAAATAAAAAATAAAAATGTAGTGGTATGATTTAACGAAAATTGAAGTAAATGGAAAAATTCAAGGGATAATACTTGACTCTAAACTATTGTAATTTTTTTAATGTGATATCTAAATTAAAATAATTTTTAACAAGGTACATAAAATTTATTTGCATGTGTTAAATTATTTCAATTTCTTAACACCATTAGGATAATACTGATATGGTACTTAAATCTAACATAGATAACATATGACCGTCATATATCATTTTAAAAAATAAAAAATAATAATTAAATTTTTTCTTCAAAATTTTTTTTAATTTTTTATTTTTTAAAAATAACACGTGACAACTCTATCTCAAATTATATAGTAATCACATATCATTCATGTTAAGATTTAAATGTCACATAATATTTTTCTAAATATATTAAGGGGTTGAGACAACTTAATATATGAAAATAAACTTTAGGTACATGATTAAAATTTTTTTTATATACCATATTAAAAAAATAATTTAAAGATCAAATAAGATATTATCCCAAAATTCAATATTGATCATAGTACATTAATAAATTTGATCTAAACCTATCCAAGACCGAACTATCCAATCAAATTTGGCTAAGCTCAACTTGAACCTATCCAAAACCGAACTATCCAATCAAATTTGGCTAAGCTCAACTTGACAATTATATAATATATATTTTTTTATGCTTATATATGTTAGATAATATATATAGTATAAAATATAAATATATTTAATATTATAGTCTAAAAAATTAAAAAATATGATAAGTTATCTATGTTTTAGAACTTAATAAAAGAAAAAGATAAAATATACCAAAGATAAAATTAAAATACCATGTTTTATTTTAAAAATATTTGTTAGAAAAAATAAAAATTATTTGAATTTGTTTAAATTATACCATTTATTAGTGTGAGTAAAACTTGGTAGAATTTAAAGCCCGAATGCATTGTAAAAAGTTTGAATAAACATGCATAATATTGATATCCTATTTAAATCATCCGAATTATTTCAACTCAATTTATGAACAATTTTAATATGACTTTAATCTCTTTAATTAAAGAAGGAATTAAAATCAATTTCATTGAATGTCGGACAAAAAGTTACTAAAAGAAATTATTTCATTAAATATTGCATAAATACAAGTGGTAAAGTTCCATAAATTCTATTATTTTTTATCTAAAAAATCAATAACAATTAAATTAAATAAGATTATTCAAAATATTTTCTAACAAAAATACCCTGAATAATTTTTCAATTAAAAATTAAATTATTTAAATTACCTTCATATATGCCAAACAAATTATAATAATTATTTAAAATTTAATATATATTGATTTCTCACAACCAAACAAAAAAATCTAAAACACGAAATATCTTTAAAAAAAAAAAAACTTTGAATATCGTATTTTTTCCAAAATCTTTTTTTTTTTCGAAATCTACATTTCATGAACCAAACATTCCTTTAAAGGATAAGTGAATTAAAAAACAGTTTTTAATCTAAAATATATGACATTGAGAATAAAATATAAAATTGATCATTGCATTTATGAGGATTCATAGAGAAGAAAGGAAATAAAACCTATTGCAATTTCTGAAGTGATAAAGATGGAAAACTAAGATAAATTGGCAATATCAGATATCTGCTTGATTAAAAAAACACTACACGTGTAGTAAGTACTAATATGATTTCATTTTATTAGTCAGCATAGGTTGTTATAGTTCCAAGAGTGAAAAATAGCTTCCATTAAAACAAGTATGCCTTAGATAAGGGAATAATAAAAATTCCAAGGCTTTACCAACCACTGCCACTTTCAGTTCCACCACTGCCCCACCCACCAGGGAAAGCTTCCCTACCTGGAGAGTTTTGAACTTTTGCACCTGGAAAATTACCCCACCCATCACCCCCTTTCTTGGTACCTGAATCCCACTTGGAAGTCTCATCATAAGATGAATCCTGCCCCTCGTTCTGTCCTCTGCTGCTGTTATATGAGCCCCTACCACGTCCACGCCCACCATATGGCCGTGGTACACCACTTGGATGCCCATCTCTGTTACTGCTATTTCTGTAATCATTTCGGCCTACAATAACAAAATACCATACAAACCAGCCACAGCTTAGACAAAAAGAGCAAACATGCAACCCAAGCAGAAAAACTCTTGGATGTACAAAATGCATACAATAAAAGAAGGAAGAAACATCCAGATGTTTGAAATATTATGGAATAATACCCATTTGACCCCTGAACCATTGCACTTTTCTAAATTGGTAACTAAACAAAAAAAGTTTCTAATCAGGTATTTAAACTTCATTTCCATATATTAATTTGTCCCAACCTTTTAACACCGCTAGAATAAACTGATGTGGCATTTAAATGCTAACATGGATGATTGTGGCTGCCATTTGGTCTGAGATGTGGCTGCCACATCATTTTTAAAAAATAAAAAAGTTTTTTAAAATAGAATTTCTAAGAAAAAGGTTTTTTTATTTTTTTATTATTTAAAAATGACACATGACAGCCACATCACTGTCACATAGCAATTACGTGTCATCTATGTTAGCATTTAAGTACCATATCAACATTAACGGTATTAAGGAGTTGAGGTAACTTAATACACGAAAATGAAATTTAGGTGCCTGATTAGAATTTTTTTTTTTTAGTTTAAGAAGCACGTTAGAAAATTAAAATAGTTCAGGGGCTAAATGAGGTATTATCTCAAATATTATTAGTAGCTCAAGTCAAAGTTTGTTTAATGAACAAGCATAAATTTACAGGTGTTCCTAATTTTCTTGCTCAAGAATAAGCTTTATATATTTTCCTACTCTTAAGCAAATGGCAAAAGTCAACAAAAGCTATATAATTAGTCAAAACTAAAAATATGTATTTAGTCAAACATGTATTAGTGTCAGACGGTTTAGAACAAACATCTACAGCACATAATGACAAAGAAGTCATAGAAGATAAAAGGTCTAATGCAGTCCAAATCATCAAATCCCCAAAACCAGACCATTCTTCAGATATTAAAGAACTAAATTATGAGATTTAAAAAATAAGTCAGGAATGTTGCACTCAACTGAACTGACAAACCAGTAAACTAAGATTGCATCCTATGGATATTTTATACACAAAATAAAAATTGTACATTTCAATGTTTACCTGTTCTTGACCCTGGAGTGGAAGATTGACCCCTGTCAAAAGAGTGGCCTCTCCAACCACCTTCATTCGTTGAACCACCCCAACTACTACCATAGATGCCCCTGCAGAGCCTCCAGCAGCAGGGCTCCGCATTGGTACCATTGCTGCAACTGATCTAATTGATGGAGCTGACTCATGCTGTGGCTCGTCAATATGCCTCTGGAAATATGCAACCAGACGATCAATGTCTTCAAACATCCTTTTTCTGAACTTGAATCCCTTGGGATATAAGCCAACATACTCATGATGCGGATTTGTACTCCTTATATAAGTAAGAATGAAAGTGCCTGGATGTTCATGAGAAATTCCAAAACAATACACAATCCTCATAGGGTACTCTGATTTCTCAATCCTTAGAAGCTCATCAACCTCTGTTTTAGTTCCCCTCCTGAACTTACGATAACTCAACATCGCCTTTAGATGAGACACAAGGGGATCAACATATCGGTCCATTACCTGCGATTTAAATGCAATCAACAGACATCCATTATATGGATTTTTATGCATTCACAAAATATTATATCATGCTAACTTCTATAAGATGAACGTAGCAACTATGTCTTTCAAATAAAAGAAACAGATTCTAAATGCTACGTATTGTTACTCTCCTAATTTCTACAAAATTAGAAGGCTTTGGCATTCAAAGCTAATAAACAAGTATTAATTAGTTCATTTTTTCAAGATGACCCATCATACAGCATTATTCAACCTTCAAGGCCTTAGAATCACAA